GGCCCCTCGCTCTCCCCGGGGTGCGGACGCGGCAGGGGCTCCTGTCTCCTGCCTTCCAGACAGTAAGGCCAAGGGAGAGATTCCCCCTCAGGGTTCCTGCCCCCCAGGGTGACAGCTGGTGTTTTCTTCTAGAAAGTCTCCTGCTTTCACTGCGGTCCCGCCTAGCGAGCCGCCGCCGAGCGAGGCTGAGGACTCCGATCGTGATGTCTCATCTGACAGCTCCATGAGATAGGGTCGCGCCTCCAGCTCGCTGCCGGGAGCCCCGCTGGGAACACACCCAGGCAGCGGGGTGGGGATTCACCGAGGGGAACATTTGTCCAGCACCCTGAGAACTGGAGTGCCCCTCCCTTGGGCTTCCTGCCTTGGTCCTGGGACTTCCGGATCTTGGGCTTCTGCAGCGAGGCTTGGGGTGCCCTCCCCGGGTGCCCCCCAGCTGGGGCGCTCTTGCCTTCGTGCCCGGGTGCCTGCTGCTTCCCCACCTTCAGAGCTGCAGTGATGGCGGCCCCCACCCCCACGGAGCAAGGAACACGGCAGTCGTCTCCTGCCACCTGGGGCCTAGAGCGGGCTCACCCTGAGTCTGTACTGGTGCTAACTGGCCGGGCACTGGGATGAGCTGATCTGGACTGAGCACTGCGGTCGGGGGCGCCTCTGGCCCGGAGGTGGAAGGTGCCGGGCAGGGCTGTCCTCAGGGCAGAGGTGCCGTCACGACCCTTCCTGTGGAAGTGGCGGGCATGGAGGCACCCGTGTGCCCTTCCAGGTGGTGGCTTCTGGGTCTCGCGGGTGCAGTGTCACGAGACTCCGGGTCTGCCCCGCTCTTGCCAAGTGAGGGAGGCGGTGGGCGTGTGCGCGCGTTAGCTCAGGGTTGCGGTTTCTTCAGGTGTCAGTGGAAGATGGGCCGCCTATGCCCACGGGCAGAGACGTGCTGGACTTGGAGAAGCTCTGAGTTGGGGACGTGACTGAAGAGACCTCAGTGTAACCGCCTGGGAGAGGCTGTGTGAGCTGACATTTGAATGGATCTTTAATAATAATGAAACTGACGAGTATTTATTGAACATGTATGTCACCGGTTTCCAGCATTTTCTGATAGTAGCTATACAATCCTGACTCAGGCCCCACTGGTTTCCTCATACCCAAGGTGTCGGTACAAAGGGAGGCACGAGTGCCCAATGTACAGCTGGTAGCAGAGAGCCCGGCCCTGCTCCTCCCACAAGCCTAGTGCCTCGCCCACAGCACTCCCCGGAACTGAGGTGGGCATGACCCTCATCTTCCCCCTATCAGGCTTACTAGGAACTGGGTGTGGTTCTGAATGCTGATCTGACCTAATTGTAATCTTTCCAGAAACTTTGCAAGCAGGATGCCATCATATCCTCATTTTGCATGTAGGGTGAAGATAGAGGAAGGAAAAGCAGCTTTCTGGAAGCTTCCCAGCTGAGGGCACAGCTGAATTTGCACCAGGCAGTCAGGCTGCACTCCATGCCCTGCACTGAGGCTTGGCCGCACAGGACAAGGCCATGAGGCCTCAGTAGCCCAACTCTGAGGTTTTTTTGCTGTTACCCTCCGGGAAGCTACAGATAGCCACAAGCTGCTAGCCCAGGGGCCCTTAGCACTCAGGGTCCTGGGAGAACAGGTGGTTTGCTCAAGGAAGGGTGCCACGGTGTGCAGAAGCACGCCCGGGATGAGGCTGCCTGGCCCAGGTATGCCAGCCTCTTGGAGCTGAGCCCTCCCCTTGGTTTCGGCCCAGCCCCCCAGCCCCGCCTTCGCCCAGACCCTGGAATAGGGAAACAGAGCCAGCCGGGTACAGTGTACTTTATTGATGGTACGTGACACAGGCAGGGCTCCCTCAGCCCCTCCCCTTCTCCAGGGGGTCTGGGATGGAACTGTGACAGGTCAGGAGATTCTCGGTGTGGACGGGTGAGGGAAGGACTCCCCAGCAGCCGAGGGCGCCGCGCTGCCTCTGTGCTTTCGCTGGGGCTGGCGGTCCGGGGCTCCTACTCCTTGGAGGCCATGTGGACCATGAGGTCCACCACCCTGTTGCTGTAGCCGAACTCATTGTCATACCTGGAAGGCAGCAGTAATTGGAGCCGGCACCAGAGGGCGCCAGGCCCTCCACACTCAAGCTTGCAGCTGCCCCAGCCACCTACCAGGAAATAAGCTTGACAAAGTGGTCGTTGAGGGCAATGCCAGCCCCGGCATCGAAGGTGGAGGAGTGGGTGTCACTGTTGAAGTCGCAGGACACAACCTGGGGAAGGAAGGAAGGTCAAGGAGGGGAGCCCGGGCTTGCCCAGCGTGAGTGGATGCCAAGCTCCGCGTCCGCCAGTACCTGGTCCTCAGTGTAGCCCAGGATGCCCTTGAGGGGGCCCTGTGAGGCCTGCTTCACCACCTTCTTGATGTCATCGTATTTGGCCTAACAAAGCACAAGGAGACAGGCACTGGAATCCCAACCCAGCCACCGGGACACAGACCCCGGCCCGCCACAGCCTCGGGACCCTTGCATACAGCTTTCTCCAGGCGGCAGGTCAGATCCACGACGGACACGTTGGGGGTTGGGACACGGAAGGCCATGCCGGTCAGCTTCCTGCAG